CCGTGGCACTGGGCTGTGGGGTCCCACAGCCCCCAAAGGCAGCGTGCCCCACAGCTGGTCGCACCCCACGGCAAGGTCAGGACGTGGCGAAAGCCGGAGTACCGAACGCCAAGACGAACCACTCTGCGACGTCTCAGTTCTCCGGTTTTTGATGGAAAACGGTTGCAGTCGTTCCCCCCGCTGTATACGTATACATTAAGTGTATAATCCCCATGGCTTGATCTCCTGTCTGAGGGAGGAGGTGCCTCCAGAGGGCAGTTCAGAGCTGAGCTTCAGCTCCTCTCCGCCAGCTGCTGAGCACCCGGGGTGATGCAGAATGCATCCCCGCCATCCCCGGGGACCGCCTGGCACATGCCCATGGTGCGACGAGGGTGTCCTTTGCTCAACGTGCCCAAAGGACTGGGATGCTACGATGCCTCAAAAAATAATAAACTCTGCATTTTGGGCTTTGGACGGAGGGGTGAGGGAAGGACGAAGCCGAGCAGGAGGATGAAAGGACTGAGGAATTGCCAGGACCCTCAAAGGCATCTCAGCACGCGGGCCCGGGGCGAGAGCAGCTCAGCCCTGTAGGTAACGACTCTCACCAGGCGCACACCCCGCCGACGGATGGATGCCAGGCCTGCAGGGAAAGCCTGACCCCTGCCCTCCTGATTTTCCAGATCCCTGATAGAAATTACATTCTTTTGATGTAGTTTTTAAAATGCAACTCTGTAACAGCTTTTATGCCAAAGAGCTTTATTAACTTTGCAAATTTGCTTCAATTGCTGAGACAAAGCCTGCTCTAGGACAGAATTAGATGACAGCAGCAGTTGGGATATGAAATAACGGTTAACGGAATGGGTTCTGAGTACATTTATGTACTTGTTTCTCTACTAAATATCCGTCTTTGTCACGGAACAAAACTGTAAGGAAAACCCCATCTATTTTAGTTAGCGGCGAGGTGGAAATCTCTGGGTGGCCACTAGCCACGACCAAGGGCACGTCGAAATCGGCATAGGACAACTGCGCGGTTTAGTTTCAATGTGCAGAAAACTAAGTTCAAGTAAGCACTTTAAGTAATACTGGTATCCTACAAAACCGAGGCAAAGGCTTAAGGGGACAAAGCGTTCGCAGCACTATTTCTGCCCAGATTAGCAGCCGTGCCTTCAAATCTGAGCTGGCAACAAGCCAGCCTTCCTCTAATCCAGCAATTCTCCTCCTCCTCGGGTTAGTGACGTGCTTTGGAAATTCTCACCTTGACTCAAACCCCTTACCTGTTTCCCCTAAAGCACACTCACTAAATCTTTCTCGTTCGCATCCCCTCCGCTCCAGGCCATCCGAATGAAGGATCCCATGCAGTAAGTCAGGAACGCCGCCGCTGTCACTCCTTGCTTTCCTTCCCACGAGGGATACACATTACAGCTGGTTTAACTAATCTCTCTCAGAAATCTGGTCTGCTACTAAATGAGCTGCTAGTTTAGCAGGAAAACAATTGCACATAATTCTGATGCCGCGCAGGGACACTTAACTTTCTGTGCGTTCCCTCTCCGTTAAGTAATTTCAACTACTTCTCTGCATTAATGGAACCTCGCTTATTAAAGTCACAAGGCAAAGCCCAGATATTCAGTAACTATAAAGCTCTCAATTCATCTTCTAAGTGAGGGGACTCCAGCCCCAGCAGGAGCAGCTCTCCAGGGGGGGGTCCCTAGCCCCCCAGTCCCAGCGTGCCCACCCTCCCTCTGTACTGGGCAGGCTCCAGCACCCCAAGCAGGCAGAACCAGTAAGCGTTCCTTAACCATCGTTCCCCAAACAAGAAGCTCTCACTCAAAAAAAAAAAAAATCAAATGTGACAATACCATAAAATTAAACTATTTTATACAGCGCTACAGCTGTATATAATACAGCTCTATGAGATCCCCCGGCTCCTCCAGAATTGCTACGACTACCACATCCATTTGTTATTAGTTCGGTTGATTTAACACGGGTTTAGGGTTTCAGAGTTTTGTTAGGACAAATATCTCAAACATAACATTTTATGCTGCTTTCGAGAGTAAATATAAACTATGTTTCTAACGGCGGCCTGTCTCAACCTCTCAGCTGTCAATTTTGAGTCTGTATCCAAGGATTAAAAGCGATTTGAGGTGCTATTAAAGCAGCACAGACACGCACAGCTCGGCCGCTCTTGCCACGTACCGGCACACGTGGGAAGGTCTCCTGAAGGACACAGCGAAGTGCTGAACAGCTGACTTTTCTGTTAATTAAATACACATTAGGTGCCGTAAGCAGAGAGTTGACATTGCAGCTGTCCGTGCTTTGCTGCGCGGGCTCGGCCACCAGCATGTGCTGCGCGTCGACGCCTGCACCGGTCCCTCGATGGATGGAGCTCCCTGGGCTGCCCAGGCAGCAAAACCCCAAGTTTTGCACACAGTTTTTGGCATTCCTCGTAACCTACAACCCGTTGCGAGCATGCACCACGGTTTTTAAAACGTGCACAGAAGCCTTTGGATGGTTACACGGAGTGAAACCGGGTAATCTGGCTGTGTTTCCCTGACACTAAGGCTGCAGCGTATTTTTTGAGAAAAAGTTGATAAAGCAACTCGGATCCTTTGACTCGCTCAAGTTCCTGGCAGCAAGTAGGTGAACGACCGCAAGCATTCCCCCGGAGTCTTACACAAACAAGGACGGCATCGGACACCCCGTGGAAACACAGGGCTGCTTCCCGAAGAACCCAAGTCCCAACTCCTCGATTTGCACAAATACCCGATTACCCAGGACAAACAGCTCGAGGAACGTAAGGAAACAACACAGACAAAACACCCGTGGGCTGACCCACACTCAGAACGGACACATAAAATAATACTTCTGAGGTTAACACACCACCAGAAGTGAGATGCAGAGTGTATCTACGTTGGCTTTGGTGGGTTTGAAGAAGACCTCAACCTGCAGCAAGATGCACGCAGGAGAAAGACGAAAGCTAAAGCTGTTTCGGCAGAGACGGCCTGGCAAACAGCAACCGGCTCCCGATAGCTGCTACGTGACCCAACTCCACTCAACCCCTTCACTAGAGCATCTTCAGAATTACTTCTATGCAACACAATTAACTCCCTTTAGCTTTTAAGGAAGGCTTTAACGAGCGCCCGTGCAGCCCTGCCACGGCAACGCGGGCGCGGGCGAGCAGCCCACGGTCCGTGCCGCGGGACCACGCACCGCGTTAATCCCTGCCCTTCCCGGAGAGGGAACCTGCCGTTGGGTTCTTCTTCGTGCTGGCTAAAGAGAATTCATAGCTGGGTAACACAGGCACAGAAAGGAAAGTTAAATTAAAATGCAAACTTACCCTTTTTCTTGTTTTTAACTGAACTTGGACCTACAAAGAAAGAAAAGAAAACTAGTGAAATTCAATGATCATTTCATTTTAGAAAACCCCCACTGCCATCAACGCCCACCGACCCAGAGGGTATCTTTCCAGAGCTGGAACAAAATCAGCAACAAAACCGGTAAGCCAAAGACGTAGAGTCTTCTGTTTTCTACAAACAACTGCTGTGAAGGTATAACGATTTCACCAGGACCTGCTTTACCCTCTCTCAAACTAGCAACCCGCGGCTGGTGTAATGCAAGGGAGTGAGGTTTGGCGAGCACCTCTCCCCCTTACTGCAAAGATGAGTTAAACCATCCGCTTGTGGCCAACGGCAAAGCTCAGGTGAGAGATGCTCTTCAACTTTGAGCCAGAGCTTTACTCTCAGATACCAGCTTAGTTCCAGCCCTGCCGAACACCCAGTTTTGCCCAGAGATTTGCCATATGTAACCCCTGAAGTTGCCGATAGAAGTACAGCACGTCAAACCGTCAGACAGCAGAAATCCCCGGACTCAACAGAAACCATTTAAAAATAGGATCCCTAAACAGCAGGTTACTTTTCAAGTGGACAACAGATGCGTTTGTGGTCTATGGAGCCATACGTGAATCGTCTCTGTCAGCGGGACGTCGCCAAGCTTACCACTGACAGCTGGCACACTTTACTTCCCGACGAGGACAGGTGAGATGAAAGTTAGCAGGACTCAGCTCTCCGCTGAGAGCAGTAACCCAAGTATTTGCAAGCCAAGTTGTTTAAAAAGAGTAATAAAATACTAAAAAACACAAAAGCAAAGAATTCGTATGAACTGGCTTATTTAAACAATGGCAACGCAAGCCGCCCTAGCAAGAAGTGGAAATATTTATAGCAAGGCTGAGAAACTAACATGACTTTTTGAGCAGAAGCTGAAGTGTGAAACATGTTTCATTGCTTCCTCAAAAATTAATCATGGGTGGAAATGAACTGTAAAAATCCCCAAATATTCTCTCGCTGTTCATCAGTGAAATCCCTCTAAAATCTGGGTTTAAACACGCATCGAAGACTGAAATCACCTTTAACAGAGATACGCTTATAGCGAACGGAAAGCAACAAGGTTGCTTCGAGTCTGCAGTGGCAGAGAAAGACAAATTACCAGTTAGAACGGCAGCGCCACGGCCCCATGGCAAGTTAGCGCAAAGATGAGAGAGGGACCAGAGAAATACCCAGTAACCTCACTTGGTGCCTTTTCAACAGGAATATTAATTTGCCTACGTTACGCTGTTGGGTCATGGGAAAATTATGGCATTATCTCATTTATTATTTCTGCTAATTTACTGGTTTTTTACTAATCCATATATTCATAGTCTTAAGACAGGTAGATATGTCAACAGGTAGGTTCCTAACAATGCCAGTCCCGGTACCTTGCTAGGAAGCAACCCTGAAGCCAAGCAGCAGGTCCACCACCAAAACGGTAAAACCTTTTACGTTTGGCAAACACCGACAGGCTCCTCTTTTTGCATTTTCCGAGCTCCCGCGATGCAGAACGAGCCGCGATCACGCCAGTGATCTCCACCGGCCCTCATCTCAGGCATCAGGTACTCAATAACTTTTTCAGTGAAGACAAAAACATTGTCTGGGGGACGTCATTTTTAAAAAAAAACCCACAAAAAAACCCCAACTCGGCAAGCGAAGTGCAAGTGCTGCGTATGTGTCTCTTCAGACCTCGGAGTCACGAGAGTTTATTTCATGTTATATATATCACACCATTAGCGCTATAACCAGAGTGAAAGTACAAATAGCTGCGGCGAGCCAAACACATTTGAAATGGATGGAACCAATTAGCTTCAAAGATGAATGGGAGGAATGAGAACCACATGCGATGTCAATGTTCACAGTCTATATTACAACACGCGCATCTGTTCCAGGCACGGCAGCAAGAGATGTTACGGCTGTGCAAGTGAATCTTTTGACAAACACAAAAATACTTCTGACATGAAAAAAACATAGCATTATTAGCCTTGGGAGCTTCTGAGTCTCTGGGGTTTGCATCTGTTCATCTCCCAATAGGAGGGGGTGGATAATTTAATTGTAGCAGGGAGCCGTAAGGTTCATCCAATGCACCAGAAGACCGAATTTTCCTCATTTTTGCTCAAAAAGGTAAACTCATCGGCTCTTTCTCAATTTAGTCTAAAACGGTAACAAAATCTCTTACTGAGTTTGAGAAGCAGAGTGCCACCGAAATATCAGATCTGTATTCTTCTCAGTACGAAAGGTGCTGAGGCACAAGGCTTGAAAACTTCACCAGATACATGTTGGCCCAACGCTTATGTGCAGAGGAGAAAAAAACCCCCAAACTTCTTTCTGCCATGCTTTTCTGAGACCACACTCCAATATTTAAGCAATGAAGCTTGTTAAATGCTGCGGTGGTTGAATGCATATGACCCGCTGGTTATCTGTTAATTGATGGAGCAGGTTAAACACCTACAAGTTAGGCAAGCCTAAGTCTTTCCTAGAGTCTTCTCCTACGTTGTTAATCCCACTTTGCCATCCCAATCCTCCTGCGGAGAGGCTCCTGATCTCCAAGCCTTTTACCCTACCCATGTTTATTTAGCGTAATTTCATGGAGACCATTAGATGACTTGATTCCAAAGAACGTCTATGAGAAGACACTTTTTTTTTTTTTTTCTCCAAGATGCAGATTACAGGCATATGCACTATGTTCCGCTACAATATCAAAAGCCTTGTCAAAAACCAAGTTACAGGATAGCTACTGCTGCTCCGGAGCCCCCAAGACCTGCCATCTTCTCATAGAAGGAAATTGGTTTGACTTGAAGAATTCCCCGCTGATTGACATTGTCTGCTGCTGCTCTCGTGTCTGCTTTCAGGGGCTTCACCGCAGTGCATCTGAGGATTTATTCAAGTCCCGGTGGGATGTGAGAGCAACCCGACCAGTTGGCTGTTCCCCAGCACCTCTTTTCCCTTGTTTATAAGAACCCCAAGTTTGCTTTTCTGCACTTTTCTGGCATCACCTCTGTTTCCTCATGAATTCCTTGAAGTATCGGTTATTAACGTACTAGAGATCAAGCTCGTGGTCTTGACTGCTGGCACTAAACGCGACAGCTACCCAAGCATAGCTATTTTTCTCCATATGTGCTTGCGCTCAACTTTTGTACTTCTTGCTACTAATCCCACCTATCTCCCAGCTCCTTTCCACGTGCTGCCTGCTCGTATTTGAGGTCAAACCAGACCCCAGACCTAGGGAAGTCCATCCCCTTCTACATTTCCTGTCTTTCATCTGAAATTAAGTTTATGCTTATGCTCTAATCCCTCCTTGAAGGAGCTGTCAGCTTTGTTCAACCCCTCATTTTAGCTTTGCTTGGCAGAGGAAGGAAAGTTGACAAGAACTGTTAATACCGAAGAGGACAGGCTAGATGGCTTTGAAGGATAATAAGCGTGGAATGAGATTCAGCCATACAAAATGCATAGTCCTATAAATTTTATATATATGGGGAATAATCAACTTTTCTGCTGGATGGTGGAACTCTTCAGATGGAGCTGTGGAGGACAACGTCTGCACATGCTGAGTTGCAGTTGCCCAGCCAGGAAAGGCAGAAATAGAATCCTAAACCAGATCAGTGGAAATATCTCTGGCAGACATGGGGCAATACTGATGCCACTCAGTAGGTGGGGGTGAAATTCTTGGGCGTAATGCAGTCAATCCTGATCATCCACATACAGAAAGATGAATTTAAATGAGAACAATTTCACAGAAGGACTCCTGGGAAGGTCAAGAAGTGGTCAAGTAGAGTTCGCCTGGTTGGCCATCAACATTGGGAAAGGGATGAGAGCACCACTGGGAAAGGCTACGGTGGTGGGCATGGAGGGAGAAGATCTGTTAGGGCTTAAAGGACAGCACTGGCACGTCCCCGTGTGTGCAGATTGCTCCCCAAGACCATTAAGCTGGGAATGAGAAGGCTTCTTCTCACCTCGAGAAGGAGGAGCACAGGTTTGGAAGGGGTCTTGTGTCTCAGAGCGAGCCCTCTGGCGTCACGGGTCACTGCTTAAGTCTCAAAAGTTCACCAGTCCCTTTGGAAAGCGGCAAGGTTATTTTTTGCCTAACTACTAAAGCCATAGCTACTAAGCTGTGAAGCAGGCTGCTAGTCCAACTTGAAACGCTGAAGCAAGCTACCTGATCTACTTCTAAAATTTATAATCTTTTCCATTGGATTTCCTGTAGGAAAAGCCCATCAACTGCTGCTGTAATAACTCAGGCCAGCTCTATCGTCTGCCAGCTGAGCTCTTCATCGCAGGATGGGATGTCCCCAGCAAAGGCATCAGAGCAACCACGCTGCGCGCTGGGCTTTTGAAGACCCTGGCTTTGAACAGCGCTCGAGACCTAGACTTCTCCAAAAGCTTATTTGCCACATCTGTTAGGAAAATAAAAGGGAATGATAACAGAAAAGGAGGGAAGAGAAAATGAGCAAGACTGGTAAACTTTGAGAGAAAGGTACGGGCTGGAAAAGAGCGCTCTATATGATCACAACAATGAAGAGAGCCAGCCTGGAAGCCTGCCCGTAGAGCCATCCTGCTGGGCATCTGCAAGGGGAAGGCTCCAAGCAATGCCAAGTCACTTCTAGCAGAAGCACTACTGCCACGGGTTTTAGCGACGAGCCAGTTCAGATGGAAGCTTCTCGCTTCAGCTGAAGAAAATGTTTGCAACAGATGAGTTTTTGTTGTGTAAAACCACAGCTGTGGCCCAGCAAGCAGCAGAAGACATCTAACCGTGCTTCAGGGAGCAGGTTCTAGCCCCCAGCTCCTGCAGCCCTAGCATCTGCTGGATCATTTCCAAGGGCCTCAGAAAAAAACCAAAACAGATGGTGATGCAACTCGAGGATATTACATATGACATGTTTTTTCTTATAAAGATTAATAGAGTTTACTTTTCCCCCTCCCTGATTTTTCTTTCTGCACGCTACACACTGCTATGATTTACTATAAATACAAAAATATCAAAAACTTCTTTAGGACATATGCTGAT